GAAAAGGGAAACTTGCTCTATCGGTGTGAACAAACATAATAAGGATATCATCCAATCACCATTTCATTCGTAGTTATCAGGGTGAACAAACTAATAAGGACATCATCCAATCACCATTTCATTTGTAGTTTCAGAGTTTCAGTTATCCTGAAAAGTAGATACCGTTATCACGAAATAACTATCGTTTTATGGTGAAAGTATGTACACAACAAATGGATAGGAGATATTTGGACCAAACATGCATGAAAATTTATTGGCAGGCTAGAAGAGTTTTGCAGTAAGAGCTTCCCACACTTTTAAGATGTGGTCCACTTTTTTCTCATTCAGAACTTACCTAAGATAGGAGAAAAAGTAAACTGAAAATGTATGCAGTCTCATTTTCTTTCCTTTTTTTTTTTGTTTCCTCTTTTTTTCTTTTTATACATCAGCGTAAAAGTGAACCTGCTATTCTTCAACCGGTGTTGGTTTTCGAAATGAATGCTAGCCATGCTTCAGATCCATTGCTCATCTGATACAGAAACAAAAACAATATCACGCGTTTAAAGTTGCACATATTATTTTAATCATTTTATTTCGAATATTATTTTAATACAAACTTAAAATCCTACTGACAACTAACCATTCCAACTTTTTCAAAATCAACACTGGTTAACCAAAAAACCCAATCAAATATCAGTATATTTATAAACAAACACGCCTTTAGGAAGTCTAGAATCTTACCAGAGAGTAACTAGTAGGAAGACTCGACTTTGACATTTACAAGGTAAAACAAAATATCACTAGGAAGGTGGAAGTGCACGGCGGCATGTAGGGCACTCCATTTTTATGTCCATCCACCTTTGCAGGCAGCACGAGTGAAAGAAATGGTCACATGGAGTCACCTATAACAAATAATTTGCATATTTGAATCAAAATCGACGGTTTTAAAAAGATTATTATCTCAAGATAACAGAAATATGAGTAAATGCAATACTACCATGCAATCACTTGAATGTAGGCTGAACTCGATGGTGTTCATGCAGATAACACAGTCTATGGCCTGATTTGATCCCTGAGGGTATTTCCGGTAATAGCTGTACTTTTCTGGCAAAACCTGCATGTACATTAGATGTTCAGAGAAGAAAGAACGAGTAAAACAAACCTGACGAGGAATGAAGCACCGAGCTCCAAAATAATGCTGGAGAAGAAGAATAAAGGCTTGGAGTCCCATAAAAAAGGCCAAACAAATACACCAACTTCGGTTGGGCTCTATCCGCATGAAATTATGAGGGCAACCAAATACATACAAAGGGATAGCAATTCGTGTGGCTGTTATCCCAAGGATATAATAAGGGTGCAGTGGTTTTCTCGAGTCACGAATCACATTAATGCATATTTGAGGGATCCAAAACGAGTGGAGGAGGAGGAGAATAAACCGCAAGAACTTATGAAACTCGTACATTATGAGAATGCCGCCTAAAAGGATAGCATCTGATTGACCATAAAAAAAAAATCAAGAAATAAAATCAGAAATTTATCCAGCCATGTAATAAAGCAAAAGAAAAGCTGGGGTCATTTAAAATGAACACATAAGGTCTATATAAAACAATATGGCATCTTTTATAACATGTAGCAGTACTTACAGAAACGGCTGTAAAGGGCTGAAAGCTCGCGCCTCATGACATCCCAATTCTCTCCATTTGCAGGTCTATTCGCCTTCCATATTGCGAGAAGGTAGCGCATTTCAAATATTGAAAAGACCACAAACTTGAAAAATGCGGCAGTTGCAAAAGCATTAAACAGGGATTCTGTAACAAGGGCAAATACAAGCTTTTGTTTTCATACATATTATAAACAAGAAATTCATAAAGAGGAGGGGACCTCAATAGTAACGACAAATTATGAACCTATGTGAAGTCAGCTAGATGGGATCATAGCAAACTATTGTATGTTGTCAAAGGCCATATATTTCCATTTTATTAGATATGAAATATATTAGTTACTCCTATTCGATTTCCTCTATTTTGTACTTGTATTCAACAATGAACCAAACACGTTTCATGTAGATAGGAATAAAATTAAGTTTCCAGATTTAAAGGAAAGTATTGAAGTTTCTAAGAGCACAAGACAAGGAAAAAGCTAATAAATAAGATGAAACTTGGATAACAACCACCCTAGACAACTTCTATTGCTAAAATTGAACCAAAACTTCCCCAGAAGCAAAACATTACCAACTAGAATTCCAGCTGTAAGATGCAGAAGACAAATATAAGCATCCATTATAGCTTGATGGCCAACCATCAGAAGTGAAACTTTGGCAGTCCCCTGGAAGAAAATTCAGCAGTAAAGCTTTATTTTACTACATGATATAAAGAGTAACAAACAGATATCAAATTACTACAATTAGTAAGTAGCAGCTCAAAAAAAAAAAAAAAAAGAAAACTGAATTGATTCACATGTAATCTTACGGATTGGGTGTTGCTGTGTTCCATTTGTCGGATTAACATTAGAACTTCAAGGAAAGATATCTGCCGCATGAAAAAGTTGAAGAAAAACAGAAAGCAATAACAACGGAAAACATTTTTCACATTCCAAGGGAAAGCACCATTATGGAAAATTATGAACAACAAGCATTAATTATTACAGGCAAAGGATACAAAGGTAACCATCAAAGTGTAGTTAATTGCTTTATTGTAGTAGATATCAGTGTTGACTGAAGTGGCATTTAAATGCATAGGTGAAAAGCAGTCCACGTCATCATCCACTGAAGGGCTCTCCATTAGTCCTTCTAGATAATACTTATCTTGATCTCCATCTATGTAGAAACGAAAGCACTGTAATTCAAAACTGTAAATTTGAAGACAACATTCTAGAGAAAGTGCAGCATAAGAGTGATACGTACTGTAAAACAAAGTACCATCTTTTCCTGATGAGAGGCGGGAAACTTGAGCTGCAATTTCAATATTGCAATGTTTCTCCATTTCATATATGGGAGCTGCAAAAGGATGAAGACTCGGAAATTTTGAATGAGTTCAATTGGAAAGCAGATAATGGAACAAACAATTCGAAAAAAAGAAAGTAAAGCCTGGCAAGTTAGAGGAGTTCAATGAACTACAACACATAATGGAGCAAATGTAGTTTAAGAAGAAGTACAGTGTTTCTTCTTCCAGATTTTATCTCGGGGAGACTCCTGAAAAACCTGGGAAGAGAAAACTCCAATCTGTACAAAGAACAAACCATCAAAAGACATAGAACAGAGAACTCTTCAGATTAACTTTCTTAGATAAATAATTGATCTCATTGGTTATTTTGATTGAAAAAGAAAAAGAATTGCCAGAGTAATTAATATTGATTACCAAGTGATAAGGGGTAGTTAATAAGTAATCATCTTCCTGCCCAAGCTCGCCCTCTTTTCCACTGCAAAGATACAAAAGTAGGAATGAGATATAGGTTGATCTATGGTCAAATCAGTACGCGGGAAAAGATGACATCAGACAAAAGAACTTCTCAATCCAAGATCAATTCATGACCGACAGATTCTCTCTCTTCCACTAGTAGGGTAAATTTATGACCTCCACAACGATTCTGATTCCAATTATATGGCATCAAGAAGAAGAGAGACAAAGTTACTTTCAAATATCCACAAATGAAATGACAAAAATTCGTATCCCATAGGATATAACCCATTAATTGAGACTGGACATATGAAATGACGAACTTTGTATCCACAGATGGGATAGTACTTTTGAATCGCATGTACATAACTGGAAGTAGTAAAACAACAAATCTCAAACAATACAATGAATTTTACCTGTTGGCTACCAGCCTTAACTGTCTAAAAGGCCATATGTACACACCTTCTACCCTGATTTGAGCACCACGGACATCTTTATCATTGTCGAACACATCATGAAAAACCATAACCCCCTGGTGAATTGCATCATGATGGTGACAATTGCAATAAGAGACTGGCTCAAAGAGAAAAACAGGAGAAAAACAAACTAATCTTATACTTTGAGAAATTTTATTGATTATTTTAAAAAATGGCTCCTGATAACAGTAGGACTTTCAATAACAACAGAAATAACTCATTTCATGGCACACCTCCTTATTTAAGTTAAAAATATAGGAGTACCTGAACATAGTGTACACCAGTTATTTTTGTTGGAGTACTAATCAACTCTAGTACAGAGTTCCCATTTGAATTCTTAAAATCTGGAAACTTGGATGAAGCATTTTTGGATTCTAGGAACTTCCAATTTCCTGAAGGCAAAAATTAACAAAATCAATGGAATATTTGAGAACATATGCTAGAATCAATCATGCACATTAGGCCAACCAAATCGAAGAACCATACTGATTAAATACCCACAATTTTTATTTTTTTTTTCCTTATCTGGTAAAGCCAGTTTTTGGAAGATATTGCCTTGTTACTAAACGTATTTAGACTACGATAAGAATAAAATGTCTTCATGATGTAATTATCTTTAGGCCCTTAAAGATTCAACAGATTCAAATCTAACTCTTTTAAGTATAAGACAATCAGTTGTTTCTAGATATTGACTTTATTAACTTAAAAATGATTCACCATACTAAATGATTAGCAGAAAATTCCAGAGAGGCAAAATAAAAACCTCGATATGTCCCTGTTATATTCCAAGATGAAAATGGACCCAATTCATTCTCTTCTTTCCCTAGAGGGAGCCACTGCAAGAAGTAAAAGGCTAACATTGTGTAACTAATAAAGTAAGATCGATGCAGAGTGAGAAGAATAGAATGTGCATCAATGCATGACTTTTCTTGGATGTATTTAAGCAAGAGTTCCGGTCAAGCAAAAGATTGTTTTCCTCCTATCGACTACCAATGAAAAATACTAACAGCTATGAAGAGGCAGCTGAAAAAAACAAGAAAATAAAGGAGGAAAAAGAAAAAGGAAGTGGAGAACATAAAAAGAGCAAGCAAACACGGCATACTAATAATGAGATAGTTTGCCTTCCCTAGACTTTGCCTCTCAGCCATTACAATCAAGTACAAAACCAAGTCTTCACGTGTCAATCCAAGAAAAAACTATTCGTAAATATGATCACCTTGGGCTCATTTGAGCCCAGGCACCAAATCCATGCAACCAATACACTCTACAGATTTCAACAAACCTAAAATAGCAATCAATATCTTATGGAAGTCACAAGTGACGACCCCGGAATATGAACTTGGGAAAACTTGGATGCATCTATCATCCTTAGTGGAGTCTGTGTAGTTGCAAAGTGTAGAAGTTCATAATACTTGGTGCCAGCTATAAAAAGGGGTTTGCCCCCAAGTCCTTGATTACTTACATTGTTTAAAGTTCTCAAATTGAAGAGAGTTTACACCTTCAATAAGATAACATTCACATTATGGCATTAATCAAGGATCTGTGTGACCTATACACAAGCTGTATATTAATTATTAGAAAGAAAATTTGATGAAATATCAAACATTGTGCTAAAACTTGTCCTGATCCATTAGTTCTTTCCAATCTGACGCTACCACAATAATTTTCCAAATATTAATGAGATGTCCCAAATTAAAAGGGTAACTCAAACAGCAAGCACTAATAGTAAGTATGCTGGCTTCACATCACCAACATCATGTGCTGTGACAGCCTATAACTTCTGAAAAAAACCACTCATGAGTTGCCTCCTAAAAGTAAGATATGACATTCCACAAGTATCAATAGTACCCATAACGTCAAAGGAGCCACCAAAAGTTCCAGAATCATCAATCACTGGTCATTACAAGAATCAATTCATTGAAGATCATGAAGATGCATGCATTGAACTGCAAGATTCTCTCATAATCATGAACCATGAGCTGCGGTTGCAACTAAAAATTTCTTAAATGTTACTTTACCAAGGGTGACCACATAAATCAGGGTTCATTCAGATTCTTGGGTTTTGAATTTCTAACACAACAATACACAAAAGCGAAAATTCATAAATAAACCGAACAAAATACATATTAAATTGAGCAACTAAAGGTAATTAACTAGATCCAGATACTACACTTCTCTGTTCAATCTCCTAAACATAAACTAAGTTCAATCTCCTAAACATAAACTAAGAACATATCCATATGGACAGTACATAATGAAATTGGAACGGACAATTACCATAGAGATAGAGAATTTAGACAGCTCAGAACATAATTCATTCAATAAACAGCAGTGACATAACCAAAACAACCAAAAAAACAAAGAACACAAAATCTT